CATTTTCTTTTTTTCTTGAAAGTAAATCTTTTTCCATCTCCCATTTTCCTAGCTGCAAGTTGCAGGCCAGTGTGCTGGAAAGCAGATGAAGGGAGAAGGCGTGGAGGTCCATGGTCCATGCAGAACACTCACCTCACCTCCTGACTGCACTGCGCCAGGATCCTCCTTTCCCCATTGTCTCTCACCATATTCAGACTGGAGTCTCTTGTCAGGACATGGACAGGGGATGGGGAATATCCCTACTTTTAAAAAAACCTCTAGGCAAGTCCAGTTTGTTGCTACCCTACCATCACACCTTTCCCATAGGGACTCAGCCATTAATCCAGATTCCTGAGCCTTCAATGTTCACATTATGGTGTAACTTTGATTGTTTCTTTTCCTTTTCCTACTGCTGGCTGAGGATCAAGATTTTTTTGTTGTTGTTCTTGTTTTTGTTTTCTGAGACAACATCTCACTATGTAGCCCAGGTTGGCCTCAAACTTGAGGTGATCCTCTTGCCTCAGCCTCCCGAGTGCTGAGGTTACAGACTTGTGCCACCATGATGCCCGGCTGGGAACGACTTTCTTAAATCTGTTAGACAAGTTATCAGTTGTTCATTTACTTTACAACTTCCCAAATTGTATTGCTGCTTTCTTCTCTCTTACTCTTTATTCTGGTTGGCGTTTGCCTTTTAGAAAAGTGCTTTTAGTGGAGATTTGGTCAGGAGCAAAAGTAGTGTTCAAATGGCCATTTCACTCAGAATATAGGAAGGATCTTTTAAAAAAAAACAAATTTGTTTTCTGGGTGGAGCACTATAGCTCCTAAGAGCACGTATCTTCATAAAATAGCTATTTACATTCTTAAAACATAAAGGACATAGGACTGGCTGATTAGGTGGGCAGGATTGAATTTGGGTAGATGAGAGGGACATATGAGGGACAAGTCTGGCTGGAGGACACCTTCAGAAGCAAAGCAGGATAAGATGGCACCGCCAGAGTGGACTCTAATTTAGGGCAGGAAGTGGGAAGTAAGCAACTCAGCTGCCATTCACAAATGTTCTTGCCCAGAGTGCGGAGTTCCGGAAAGGGTTATGGGACTTTGCAGCCTCATTTAAACACTAAACTACTAAATCTTTGTATCACAGCTGGCACCAAAGGTGGAAATTGAGAAATTTACTGTAAATATGCAGAAAACTGAAAGTGTTATCATCTTCAGTGTTCCGTCTTTAGAAGTGTCATAATCCTATACCAGACACTTAGCAATGGGGAAGTTACCTAAGTCAGTTCCAGTTTCAGCTGTGTCTGTATCTTAAATATTTCACCAGTCTTATGTCAAAATTCTAGCATTTTCATTTCCATTTTTATAGATAAAGCATACATTTTTATTTCTAGGCTGTGGTGTATTTTTAGCTAATAGAATCGAGACATTTTGATATTATGTTAAAGTCTGGTTATAAAGGATACTTGGCAGCAGGTAAAATGAATAATAGTGTTTCGAGTTGTGTGCATTTTTAATGGCTAGGAATTATTCTACGTGGTTACCGATCATCTGTATATGAGAGAATGCATAAAGCTGTTCCTTATAGAAATGTCTGTGCTTTTGTGTGGACAGGAAGTTACTCACTCACTATAAACATCACCAATTCTCCTGCAAATGAGCAACGTCCCCTTTAACTGAATAGAAGCTCCTGTGTAAGGGGAAATGAAATTATGTTAGTATCAAAAGATGCATCTTTTCAGCACCTACAGTTGCTGATTATGTGTCTCTAAACAGCGCAGTTGCTACATGGAACCCATTATATTCAGGTAATGTGTAAAAGTTTTCACCTGCTACATGCATTTTAGTTTTTTCGTTTTGTTTTACAAAGAGTAATTTGTTTTTCTCCTTGGATAGGTATAATGTGAGATAATCACTTTGTAGTAAGAATGTTCATTATAAGTGAGTTTGTTTTCTTGGCTCTCATTTTGTTTTGAGACGGGTTTCATGAGGTCACCTCGGCTGGCCCTGAACTCGCCTCTCTCCTATATCAGCCTCTCAAGACGTTGGGATTACAGACACGGACCAGAGCACTCAGTTTTGGCCCTGTTTTATATAGTACATAGAAGGCATCTAACTCATACTTCCTTGAGGTTTTTATTGAATATAGAGTATTAATATCCTATGACTTGAGTTACAGGACTAACAGAGAAACTGATAGTAGAATACTGGTTTGGTTTTATAGGATCATTCAAGATCATGGGAGTGAATTTACTTCCGAAAGAACAGTACTTGTTGGGGCCAGGGATTTAGCTCAGTGGTTTCGCCTCCTGCTGTGCAAGCACAAGGACCTGAGTTCGATCCCCGGTACAAAAAAAAAAAGAACAGTACTTGTCGCATGTATCTTGGATAAACTGCCAGGAGAAAAGAAACTGTTTATGCTTGGCAGTAGTTCACAATATAGATAGATATTCCTTGACTTGCAGTGGGATTTTGTTCCTTTCAATCCATCATAAATTGCAAATGCCAGAAGTCTAACGTACATCAACACAGCTGACCTTCTGAACTTTACAGCGTAGCAACAGCAGACCCTGGAGTATGGGTTGTTTACCTTCGTGCTCACATGGCTGGTGGGGACTGTGGCTCACTGCCGCTGCCCACATTGTAATAGAGGATGGCGCTTGGTAGTGTTGGCCTGGGAGAAGATCAAAATTCAAATCCGGAAATACAGTTTCTACTGACTGTGTTCCTTTCACACCATCTATACTGCCCCCAACAAAACCTTATTAGCTAGATGGAATGGGGAAGCTTACCTTTATGAGACACTTGGAGGAAGATGTTTGATGCTGTAGACTGAACTAAAAGTGTTAATCTGCTCTCAAAAGAAAACCTAGCCCCAGACTTTATAAACACAAAGTCACGAAAATACCAGTCCTCAGGCTGACCCGGGCACTTCAGGATTCTTTCATCATCTCTGAGGGGTGTGGAATGGGGAAACCACCTTGAGATGCTTAAATATAAAAGCTCACGTGAGCCTTCCCTTCCTGTCTAGGATTTCCTTTCTTTTCCTCGCCTGGGTGTGCTTTGTATTTGATGGCTCCTGCATAATAATTTTGTTGGTGGACTGTTCAGTGTGACCTGTGTCCCGTGGCTCTGCGTCCCTGAGGGAGGCCCTGTATTTTACACAAGGACAGGGTCAGTTCTTCTAAATGCTGTCTCTTAAGTATTCACTACCTTGAATCTGTAATAATAGAGGACATTTTTATCATTGGTTGTTTTGTAGATATTGTATGTGGTTATATTAGATGGTGGGAAATGTTTACGGTTTGTGTCAAACAATTCTGTAGCATTTGATTTTTAAATTATTGTTATAAGGAGCAAGGGCTGTTTTCATAATCAGAAAAGGAGATTTTACTATAAAATCATTGAAAAAGAAGTATGTAGAACCTTAAGTAATATATTAACCCATGGGTATTAGTGCTCACTTATCCTGGAAGAGGCAGGTAATAAACTCTAAGCAGTACATTACCAAATGCACTATTTACATGACTAAAATTGCACGAATGAATGAGAATAAATAACACATACAGGCAGCTTACCCTCAGCCGGGTATTAATCAGAGAATTTACGAGGCTTATCTCAGTCCTTACCACAGTCCGGGGAGGTAGGTAACTGCACACAGGGAGGACGAGGTTGATACACCGGCAGAGGGCTGGGAAGCACCAGCGTCCTGTGAATTGCATCATCTGTTGGGATTTGCGCTTTCTGCTGGCAGCCTGGAAACCAGTGAGGAAGCCCAGCGTGGCAGAGATGGGCTCTACCTGTGACTGCGCCTCCCGCAGGACCCTTCACTCTCTCTTGTTCTTCCCTAGTAGATGTGGAATTCTTAGCGACCCCACAGCTCTGAAAAGGAGCACTCTGCTTCCCTTTAGGGTTAATAAGGTATCCTCAACTTCTGACATTCCTTAAACACTTAGTTCTATTCACTCTATGTTTTCCGCTTGTTGGTATGGTGGTGGAGCCTTCGATGACAGCGTGCAGTCCTCTGCAGAGTCACCCCACACCTGCCCCCTGCTTTCTTTCGGTGACCTGAACAGGAGACTTGTGGTACACTTAAAACTATCCACTTCCATTTCAGAACTGGCTCTTCAAGTTCTCAAAACCTCTTGTCAGACTGCACCTCCCCCAGGGTTAAAACTGCCAAGTATCTGTGTGCTGTCCTGACCACACAGCCCAAGGACTGTGGGTCACGTGCTGATCATCGCAGTTAACCACAGTCCACAAAGGGAAGGGCTGTCCTCAGCTATCTTAAGAAATGTGTACTTTAAAACAAGTGTGTGCTTTATATTAACTTTTGCATAGACTGACTAGAATATCACACAAGGTATATAATTTAAGCCATGATCAAGTAGACGATGTACATCATTGGGACAATTCTTTGGTACATGCTGCTTACGTTGGCATTTTAGAATTATACCAGTAAAGTTTTGTTTTAAATGCACGAGAGTTTTCTTTCTAAAAATTATGTTTTTTTCAAGCTTCACGTCCTAAACTTTGTTTAAAGAAGAATACATATTAGGGAGCACAGAGAAACCCAAAGAAGGGTGTGTCAGTTGGCTTCTTCAGTGTAACAGTTGTTATTCATCATGGCTGTGAGGCTTGAAGGACATAATCCCCGTGGGGCTTCTACAGGAGTTGCTGGCAGACAGTGAGCTTTAGGTGGGTCTCCCCCTGGTCTCACCTGGGCTCAGATGAGCTCTGCCTGTGGTCCTCACCCTCCAGGAGGCCAGCCTGAGCTTTCCCAGTGTTACTAGAACAGTAGTCCAAGGGGACAAACCCTAGTGTGCCATGCTGCTTCAGTACCTGTAGCATGTTCTACCTCCTCTTGCATTCCCTTGCTTAAACCCAATCTCATGGCCCAGTCCAAGTTCAGAAGGTAGAGACCCTGACTATTTCTCATGGGAGGTACAATAGTACCCCCACCCCCATCTACTGTGATTTCAGTTACAATCAGTTGTGGTCCAAAAATAATAAATGGAAAATTCCAGAAATAAGCTATTCCACTATTTTAAATGACTACTACAGTATGTTGCTATAAACGTTCTATTTTATTATTAGTTATTGTTGTTATGTTTTTTTCTCTGCCTAATTTTTAAATTAAACTTTATCATAGGTATGTATCCATGGGAATAAGCATAGTGTGTAGAGGGTCTGGTACTATCCATGAGCGTAGGCATTCTCAGAACATCTCGAAATGTATCCCTGTGGGTAAGTGGGGGCTACTGTACTGCTAAGAATTTGTGTCTGTGTATTATTTGTCACATATAGTCTACCTTGGGCAAAAAGGACTCGAATTTCTCCCAGAAGGAAAACATGCTCATTCCCCCTTGGGATTCCCATAATCTGGTGGAAGCACAGCATTAGCCTCTAAGTCTAGAGAGTTACTTCTGATGTGCACCAGATACAGGCGAAACACCTCAGGTACAGCTCTTTGGTTATGGGGCCGCTTTATTCTGAGACAGTGAACTAGAAAGATAGGCTATTTCCCTCGTGATGAGAGGGAAAGCTTAGCTGAAGTAAACACTCCATTTTAAGAACAAGCAAACAATGCACGGCCAGGATGCAGAAGCCAAGGCCAGGATTCGCTTCTCCTAGGCCAAGATTTGCTCCTCGATCGGGGCTCAGCTCTGGTTCTTGGGAGTGGCTCCCTGGTTTGAGTTCTCAGCAGCTCTTGACTGCCTCTACACACTCCTCCTCTCCCAGAAGAGATGCTCTGCTGTCCCTACCATAAAATTCTGAGATCCTGGGGCGAGGGCTCCTGATCATGAACTGGTGGCACATGGGGGCTGGAGGGACACAACTCAGCCCATAACATTGTATGGACATTTTTTTCTCTTGTCTCTCTATAGTAAGTAGGCACAAAGCCTCTCCTTTATGGAGATAAGACTGTACATTGTGATTATAAAAAGTTCACTAGGGGAAAATTAGGAACAATAACTTTGTGGTGGTTCTTTGTAGCGTATAGCGTACTGGTTATTTATGTATGTGGTTGTCATTCCCATTCATTTTCTTCTCTTTTCCGTGTGTGTGTGTGTGGGGGGGGTATGCTATTGGGGATCAAAGCCAGGGTATCTCACATGTTTAGCAAGCATCTTTTCTTCCTGATACGGCAGAAAATCTCAAGATTTTATGTGCTGCATGTGGCGGGTTCTCCCCGTCAGCACTGGGGTCTCAATGACCAGGATCTTTAGCTAACTATTCACTGTGAATGCTTCAGAGAATTTATTCATGAATTTGAAGAATTTGAAGCTTGATCTTCCATTTTTAAAACATTCTCCTCTGATTGGTGCCCTTGGTAATTATAATTGTTTACTATAAAGGAAGAGGTTGGAGTAAATGATCTCTAACATTCTTGGTAACTTTGCCTTTTGGGCTTCCATAGATTGTTTGCATGACTCACTAGACTGGGGGTGAGTTCTCAGTTGGCTTTGACTTCTCTGACTTCCGTCCATCCCAAAGGGCTGGAAGGTGGGGCTTAGGAAAGCTACCAGCTTTGCAGTGGGAGGGGAGCCCAGCAGCTAGCTACTTGTTTCCTTCTCTGTCAGTTCTTTGCTTGTTAAAACTGCCTCCAAACTGAGGACCATCGTGGTTCTCCAGAACTGCAGGATTTTTATGAATAAAAAGCTGGGATAATAGGTACCTATGGAATGAGTCAGAGTTGTGAGTGTGCATTAGAATTAAGTGGGCATCATCTTAAACCTTCTGGATCCAAAGCTGTAGTGGCCCAGATATCTGCAATGTTTGAAGCTTTCCAGGTGAGTCTCTGCCTCCTAAAGACTAAAAGCCACTTAGTTATCATCTCTGTCTCTCTTTTTTTCCTCTTACGTTAAATTTTATTATTCAGTGAAAGAAGGCTTAACCAATTCTCTTTTCTTTGGTTTTCAGGACAGATTATATGCATGCCTAAAATAAAAATTAAAAACCAGATGCAGATTTAGGGCAGTTGGTTAAAGATTTTCTTTTGAATTCTTCATCTCCATGTGAATCACAGCACGACTTATTTTTAGCAACTTTATAAATACAATTTCTTAAAGTTTTTTATATTATCCTTTATCACAGTGAGATATGAAGGTCAATTGAATTGTTTCATCTTTGTCAGTTACCATGGTTCTTTTTGGGGATCTCACAGTACGGAATCAAGCTACTGGATGGGAAAGTTATTTTGATGGTCTTTTTGTGCCATCTTCTATAGCTTATATAACTTTAGCAAGGTATGCGTTTCTAAACTTTTGAGAGACGTTCCTGGGTATGGCTGCCTCTTGGTTGACTTTGTTGTAGTCTTCCTAGTGCCTGCTCCCTGGTAACCAGGAGACCTTCAGTGTGGGTGAGATCAACCTCCTTGGGGCCAGGCTGTGGGAGGAAGAGAGGCTGGAAGGCCATAGTATCTTCACATCCCTTGTGCCTTTCCTTTCTCTGTCCTCACCAGACCATGGACCTGGGCCTTCAAATGAGCTTGGGCCTTTACCTCATTAAGGACCTATAATAGTAGAGTTGTTAGGTCCTAAGGAGGAATGACTCTCCATACAGGTGTTTCTTTTTTTTCAAAAAAAAATTAATTTTATGGATACAATTTTGATATATGTAATGATCACATTCATCATAGGGCATAAAGATTTTTCAAACAATTTTCTGTTGTGTTCAACCTAAGCTTTGCTGTTTGTCTTGTGGATGAGATGATTTCCCCAAACAGGGTTTTCATGGCTTTAGAGAGCAACAGACAGTACAGGACCTGTGTAGGATCACTGGGACCCCTACAAGCAGATCCCAGGTGTCCCAGTGGGTGGCGCTGTCCCTTTATTTCCCACTACCTTCCTAGCAAGGTGGTGTCTCCTAAGGCTTGGCCAAGATGCAAGAAAGGCATCTATCCTCTGTTCTTGTCCTGTCATCAAAATTTACCCATTTCCCCCCATCCACCTGTTGCATGGTCGAATATATTGGCCACTAACCTAAGCACGTTTGGATGCAGGTCAACTCCGTGCGAGCCAGCTGGTGTCTGCTCCCCTGTAAGAATAGCGTTAACTCTCTTCTCTGCCTACTTTTTCTACCTAGGAGAGTATATATAATTTTCATGTCACTAGATAGCCTTCTAAACTCTGATTTATGTCGCAGCCAGTACCTTATTATTGAGCATTTAAATCATGTCTGAAATTCTGTAAAAATAATGTGGTGATGAAGATGTTTATAACTATGAGCTTCACATGTCTGTAGATAACCTTACAATAAATTCTCATGGATCAAAACAAATGCAACTTGTAAAGCTTTTTATATATATGTCTAAACTATTCTCTGGAGAGGTCCTATCAATTTACCCTCCTGCCAGCATTTTTGAAAGAGTTCTCAGAATCCTTACCCATTTATAAAAGATTATTTTTTAAAATTCCTACTAACTTGGTGAGAAAAGAGAAAACCCACAATATAATTTGTATTTCTTTGTTTAATAATGTAACTCTTTACAAATGTACCTTTATACATTTGCTAAAGATAATTTTATGTTTAGTGGTTGTCTTATTTCCTAGTCGCTGGAACAAAATACCCAAAGGAGGAGCGTTTTATTTGGGCTCAGTTTGCAGAGGTTGCAGCGCAGGCTCTGATGGCTCCCAAGAAGGGCGGCATGGCAGAGGAATGGGGGCTCACCTCTCTCGGTGCCCAGGAAGCAGGGTGAAGGGAGGAGCTGCCCAGGAAGATAAACCCGACCCTTCCAGGCCACGCCCCCAGGGACCGCCTCTTCCGGCCAGACCCCACCTCCTAACACCAAGTCAGCTCTAGCCCCCTTATCCAGTCATCTCTCAGCAGTCCCTGCGATGAGTGCATTGCTGCTCTAGGGGACAGTGGTCAGGTGGGTGTAATCTGGAGACTGACTTTCCTCTTATGCAACCTGGGATAAATTATTTCGTCTCCTTATGCTGTACCAACTCTGAAAGTGACACTACCTGCTTCACAGAGCCTGTATGAAACTAAAGACAATATCAAGTGACAGGTGCCTAGACAGCACCAGACACAGTAATCACCTGAAATAGATCTGTACTCCTGTGTTCTATGTCATCTGTTCTTTTTATTGTCTTCGGGTGAATGGTGGTCTCTTTTTTTTTTGTAGTTTTCAAAAACAGGTACTGCCATGTCAAAAAGCTAGAAGAAAGGACCTTGAAAGTTTTCACCATAAAGAAAATGAGAAATGTTTAAAGAGATAAATCCATTCAACTGCATTTATACACTATGAAATGTGTACATGTATTGAATCATTACAGTGCTAATATGTACAATGTTTATGTATCATTTAAAAATAAGTTTAAACTAATTGAAAGTATAAACTAGCTTAACTCATTATCTGTCATATATTGTAACTTCTCCCCCCAAATTCTGCCTTTTAAATTTGTTCACAGTGAGGAAATATTTGAATACCAAGACATTCAGGCAGAGGAAGGTGCAGTTTGGTTCAGGCTGGATTTTTTTTCCTGATGCTCAGTCATACTGTTAGGAAAGTCACCTTCCTCATCATCAAGAAAGTCTGGTATTAGGGCCGGGGATTTAGCTCAGTGGTTCCAGTGCCTGCCTCGCAAGTGCAAGTTCCTGAGTTCAATCGCCGGTACCAAAAAAAAGAAGAAAGTCTGGTACTGATTTTAGTTACAGATGGCAGAAATGGCATTTTAAACAGGAAAACTTTTTATATTAAAAATCACTATGGTGGAGTAAAATATCTGCTTAATTTATGTAAATAATGATGATGGTGGAGGGATGGGAGGTCATGGCTAATATTTCACTGTTTTCCATTTATCGCTAAATCCAGATTGTCAGCATTGCATTAGTGGTGCAGTGTAAAATTAATTACTTCAACTTGAAAGAAGCTTTTAATTGGAGATCAAGATCGCTGGTAAATTGTGTAGCCATTAAGTGCTACTGCTTCCCCCTTCTTAAAAAGAATATCACAAAAAGAGACTTTTTTGGCCATAAAATCTCAAGTATACAAGTAAAATATTCTCTATATTGGCATATATACATGCAACTAAAAATGAGAATTTTCACCTCAAAGGAAAAGTATACATGTAGAGAACATTATTTTGCTTCATTAAGCAGGAAAATTATCAGAACCACTCTTATAAAACAAATTTTGCTTGAGTTGCCAACTTAATTCAAAAAGCTTTAAAAAATGGGCATATATTCCAGCCCTGTGGTAGATAAACGAGAGTGTGTTGTATTACTGCTACAAGGCTGTGATAGAAATTTCCCATATAAAAGTTTGCTTATTAAAAAAAAAGTTGTTAACAATGCTTACCATTAGGGAATGATGTTGGGGAAAGGAGTAAACAATCTCAACTTCTGATTTGTTTTCCTAGTTTCCTTGTCGCCCAGGCTGGGTTTGAAACCACAGGATCAAGTGATTATCCTGCCTCAGCCTCCCGAGTAGCTGGGACTTACAGGGTTCTGCCACTGCCTCTGCCTTCAACTTCCAAATTTTATACTGTGCTTCCTTATTAGATTTGTCTTTATTTCGTTGTTGTTTTACTTCACGTGTTTTTATTTTCACAGTATCTTGAAAGGAAAAAAAAATTAAGCTATGCTTTCCATGGTAATTACCTGAAGAGTTAAATGCATGGGATGCACAGGGGATTTTAGAGTTGGTTCCAAAGCCTTGAAAATTGTCTTTATTCAAGGGTCCCTATATTTGCAAGTCTTTTCTTCTCCTTTTTCCTCCGTGTGTGTGTGTGTGTGTGTGTGTGTGTGTGTGTGTGTGTGTGTTTTGATTTGTGATGACTGGAAAAGTAAATCCAGAAAAAGATACTGTTTCCCAGAGCAATCTAAAATTTTAAATTGCTGGTTGAGTCCCGGGCCACAGCTGTGATACTGAACTGTAGAAGCCCAAAGGTCACAAAACACAACCGTGGTCGTGGCTTTCAATCATATTATTTCTTTACTTGTAAGCAAAATGCCGTAGAACACTCAGCTTCTAGGTATCAGCTACATCCAGGAATAAAGAACCGGGAGCACTGAGCAGAATGCTTCTTGATTTTAAGCTTCAGCTCCCTTGAATGCAAATAAATATTTCACTGGAAGAATCTAACCTTTCTTTTTTTTCAGTTTTTATTTTTTATTAGTGCATGTTTGTAGTGCATAATGACTACATTCGTCACACGGAGTTGGTGCATGTACATACACAACTTTATTCTTTTTTTCATCCCCTTCCCTCCATCTTAGTTCCCTTCCTATCGGCAAAAGATCTATCTTCCTACTTCCTGTTATCTTTTATTTTGCTCTTTATTTATACTTTGGGATTCTTGTAGAAGAGAAACCCTACAATTTTTTTTGGTACCGGGGATTGAACTCGGGTCCTTGTGCTTGCGCAGCAGGCGGTGAAACCAGAGCTAAATCCCTGGCCCTACCCATGCAATCTTTAAGCTTGTATCTGATTCACTTCACTTAACATTATGGTCTCAAAGCGCAACCATTTTCCTACAAATGGTTCAAATTCACACGATTATCCTTGTTTATGCCAGAGCAGTACTCCACCGTGCGTAAATAGCACGTTTTCTTTATCCACTCATCAGTTGGTGGACATGTGGGCCACTTCCAAGATTTAGCTCTTAAGAACTGTGCTGCTGTGAACGTGGGTGTGCATGGATCGCTGTAACTGGACGTCCTTAAGTCTTCAGGAAGACACCTAGAAGGGGCATGGCTGGCTGTAACCTTTCTATCTCCACTTGCAGGCAACATGAAGGACCGGCTTGCAGAACTCCTGGAGGTGTCCAAGAGCTATGATCAGCAGTTCCCAGACGGGGACGATGACTTCGATGCGCCCCACGAGGACATTGTGTTCGAGACGGACCACCTCCTGGAGGCCCTGTACCGAGACATCCGGGACATCCAGGAGGACAACCAGCTGCTGATGGCCGACGTACGGCGGCTGGGCAAGCAGAACGCCCGCTTCCTCACGTCCATGCGGCGCCTCAGCAGCATCAAGCGCGACACTAACTCCATTGCCAAGGCCATCAAGGCGCGGGGCGAGGGCATCCACCGCAAGCTTCGTGCCATGAAGGAGCTGAGCGAGGCGGCCGAAGCCCAGCAAGGCGCGCGCTCGGCGGTGGCGCGCATCGCGCACGCGCAGTACAGCGCGCTCACGCGCACCTTCCAGCAGGCCATGCAGGAGTACAACCAGGCCGAGATGAAGCAGCGCGACAACTGCAAGGTCCGCATCCAGCGCCAGCTGGAGATCATGGGCAAGGACGTCTCGGGCGAGCAGATCGAGGACATGTTCGAGCAGGGCAAGTGGGACGTGTTCTCTGAGAACCTGCTGGCCGACGTGAAGGGCGCGCGCGCGGCGCTCAGCGAGATAGAGAGCCGGCACCGCGAGCTACTTCGCCTGGAGAGCCGCATCCGCGACGTGCACGAGCTCTTCCTGCAGATGGCCGTGTTGGTGGAGCAGCAGGCCGACACGCTAGACGTCATCGAGTTCAACGTGCAGCAGACGCTGGACTACACCGGAGAGGCCAAGGCGCAGGTGCGCAAGGCCGTGCAGTACAAGAAGAAGAACCCGTGCCGGACCCTCTGCTGCTTCTGCTGCCCCTGCCTCAATTAGCAGGGGCCTCGCAGCCCGGGCCCAGCTGTACCGGAAGAGGGTCTCAGCTCCTTGCGGAAGTCCGGCTTTAGAGAAGGAAGAAACGCCAGGCTCGAGCATAGGAGCCCAGCTCTTGCTTGGAGAGAAGCTGAAACGGTCCAGTGGTTCCTGGGAGAAGGCAGATCCTGACTGACATTGTGTGAGCTCATTAGAGACAGCAGCAAAGTCACATAAAGCACCCATGCTGTCTGTGGGGTCATGTCTGAGACTCGCCCCCTAATGGAGACCCCGGGAGAAGGCAGTGCCTCGTCTGTCGGTGCACAGACTCATTATCCACACGGACATCTGTGCGCCCTATCTGAAAACTTCCTTGGTTCCGTCCGATTCTGAGTGAAATTGACCGTGGGGAAATTGGACTTGTTCCTTCCTGATTCGTCATCTGATGTATGCAATGTGATTCCGGCCTAGAGATAAACCTGTTATTTTTTTTTTCTCAACTCTACTTATTAAAATCACGTTGAACACTTAATATTTTATCTCCTTGACTTTTAATATCTTCTACTAGGATATACTCGGGGATTATTTTTCTAAACATTTTTAAGCACTTAATATTGAGGAAGCACTCAAGTAGAGCTACGAGTCACATTTTATGGATTTTTCACATCAATTATATAAAATTTGTCTTTTTACTTGATTGCATGTGCACATATATATGTAATTGTAAATACTAATATTCACCAACGTGGGTACATAATGGCCAGTTGGCTTGGCTTTACTTTTGTAAGTGTGCTATATAAAGACCAAGAAAAACACTTCTGAGTTTTGGTGTTGGTTTGCTTATTTTGCATTTATCTTGCTCCAGTGTGCATGTCCATAGTTAAGTTTAGGTCAAGACTTTATTTTTAACAACCTTGCCTTGGTTATGTTAGTAACGACAGGTGTTGAAGGCTGAAAATATATACAGACCTAGAGATAATAAAATTATGTTCTTGGAAATAGTTTTTTTAAACTGAATACTATTCTTTTCACACATTAAGATGGAGAAATGCTAAATGAAGTAACCTTATTTTTCAAGTAAGCTTAATTATAACATTGTAAATATCCCGTTTATGCATTTGTATCTCGCCCATTTCATTTGTGTTCAGTTTACTTTTTTAACTATTGTTAAAACTTTTTCTACGTAGGTACTTTGAGGCTACAACATCTGGGTGGAATTCTGACCAAAGCGGAAAAAATGATAAACTCAAGGAATTCATATAAGGGTGTCTTACTTTCTCCTCCTAGCTCCAATAGCTAAGCAAAATCATCACATTTTAGAGCTCTGATTTGATTTGCAAACCTTGTGATGGCCTAAGCCGAATTTGTCATGCTTCCCATCTTTCTCCTGAGCCAACTCTTAGCTCTTTCTACCCCACACTTAATGCGTGAGTAATTTTTAGTCATATCTCTCAGGACCTCCAGAAGGTGGAATTTTCAGAAGAGGAGAAAGAGGAGTCCGTAACCTCGTGGAGGTTCACTGCCGGACCTACTTGTAACCAGGAGAATCTGGCTCTGTACTTAGTTTTAATTTCATGGTTCAACATGAGAATTGTGGAAAATGTGTCCTACTGTGCTCTCCTCAGTTTTTTTCCTATTTTCTCTCTCAGCTGACCCAAGGAACATATTTCCCTTTTGACTTAATTCCTTTTCCCTAAGTGAGGGGATAAAATCTCCTTGCACCTCCACTGCCAGTTTTCATTGTAGATAAGAGATACTGCAAATGAACACTGTCAGCTGCTTTCTGCAAGAAGTAATAGTTCATAAACTTGACTAAACCCTAAAACATTTTCTTTGCTGCACACCATCATAAAAGTAAATGAGTTTCAGGTTCTGTGTATTTTAATTCCTCATTTTACCTTAGAGAATCAGAGACTGCACTTTGCTAAGAGAAGGAGTGGACTGTTGTCTTTGGAAAAGCATAACTTTTCTTCCTGTTGTCGTAACCACCTGAACTGGCATAGTGGCTAAGGGTACAGATTCTCAACTCCAGCCCTGAGGCATGAGTCCTGCTCTGCTGCCTACTAGCTGTATGAAGTGGGTGCATTACTTAAGCCTCAGTTTCCTCATCTGTATAATGGGGACAATAGGACCTACCTTATGGCCTTGTTGTCAGGAGTGAATGACTCTAAATGTAAAAGCATAGAAAAGGTACCTGTTACTACTAAGCGCTATGTTCACTGTTGCTGCTACAGAACTTTTTTTTCACCAGAAACTCATGTAAGTTAATAGGTGTTAAGTTTGGAGGGAAATAATTTATTCTTCAGTAAATATCCTTTAATAAAATGGAAAAAGAAAACAAGATTCTATCTTCTCTGAGATTAGGGCCTTTTTCCCCTATAGTGATAAAATCGTTTTCACAGTGGTGTTTCAATTCCTTTGCATAACCAAACATGATTTGAAGAAGTATCTTCCACCACAGACATGTAGCAGAAGGGAGCTGTTGTGTTCTGCTTAATTTTAGCAAGTGCTCTCTCCTGATTCCCCCCAGGATGTGAGTCAGAAAGTGCTAGATGGAGCCCTGGGAAGTTATGGAGCCTGGATCCTAGACCCAGGGGAAGACATCACCTGGCCCACATCCTGCCTTGTGCCCAAGCCCACCTGGCTCTGACTGCCATGCCAGGCAGCCAATGAAATGCCAGCTTTTTCCAGGCTCACGGAGAAATGCTGAGGGTTGGCTTTCCCTGACCCTGTGACACTCACTTGCAAACTCTGAAAGGTGACTGGGCAAGAGGAAGACCATGTGGCAATTCTGTAAATATCATACACTAAGATCTTTTTTTGGGGGGGGGGGTACCGGGGATTGAACTCAGGTCCTTGCGCTTTCGAGGCAGGCAATGGAACCACTGAGCTAAATCCCTGGCCCAGCTAAGATCATTTATTGTGTGAAATGAGAGAACCAATTACAAAGAACAATGGATCCTTAACAGCAGAAGGTGAAGACCTTTAAAACTACTTTAACACTTACAGTGACTGCTTACAACCAGCCAGATGCCCAACCTGACAGTGATGGCAAAGCCAGGTTATAGGTGGTGACAACTCCAGAAATGTCATAAATAGGAAAGGTGCTCATCTAACATGTTGGTGACCAAGATACTAGAATATTTGAAAAACTGATCATTAAAAAATTTGAATTGTGACATCATAGAAGTAATTTTATGGCCTTTGAAGACAATAACTTGGAAAAATAGTAGTATTCTTTTCCCAGCAATTCATTTATATTTATTTTAAAAATAACACCTGTACTTTACGGTTAAATGTCATGTGAAAATATTTTTTAAACTGTACCATATATAGTTAATAGTTTGAAAGGAATCTACTGAAGATTGTGTGTATCTAATAAAATAAGGAAACAATAGTCTTGGGTTTTAGGTATAAGTCTTCCCATTCTATTTTCTCCCATCAGACATATTTTCCATTGTTTTCTTTGAAATATGCAAAGTATCTACAACTGCAGCATGCACTTCATTCATTTGTAATCAAGATTTGAAATATCCAATTGTCACCAGAGTGACAGTTGACTTGCTTCTGATAGCAGAACTGAAAAGTCATTGTGATTGATATAATGTGAATGAATAGGATCTAGAATGTAACTTCATCATCACATAAATGCTGAGTGTCTTTATTACCATGTTGAAAGAATGGACAAGTGTTCTGATGCACTAGAAGCTTTTGTTGCAAAGGTTTTATGTTTAGCGGTATGATAAAGGTTTTCCGACCTGGCTTTCTGAATGAGATTACAGAGGATGCTTTAAAACTAGCAATATCCTACACTATGGAAAGTGAGAAACAAGTTTCCGGTATTGCCATTTTTTAATGCTTAATGCTTATATTAAAGTGTATTTTCCATCCTGTTTTAATTTTAAGCATCTGTCCAAGCCACTCCCTGAACATCTTCTATTTTTCTGATACCTCAACGTTTTCATGGTCTACAGCCAACTGCTGAGACGTCCATTACTCTGCATCCTCCTAGCATCTAACAATATCTGATACAGGTAAAAACAATAGGGCAGGTCCAGCTGGGTGTGGCTCAGGGGCTGAGTGCCTGCCTAGCACCTCAAAAAATAAAAAATATCAGAACACGCAAAATTACATAAAGGGACCCGGAAGGAAGCTCCCCTGCCACCATCCCAAGCTCCTAGGGCAGAGAAGCTGAGCTGGTCCCAGCACCCGGAAGGAAGCTCCCCTGCCACCATCCCAAGCCGCTCAGGTGCCAGAAGCACCCCCCGCCCCCGGAAATGAGAAGACACGTGAACAAGTCTCAAAAACAGACTTCTGGATCACCTACAGCAACCCCAAAGGGAAACGAGATGGAACAATCTGATACTCAACCACCTGGACTCTCTGAACTGGCAACAAAAGAGGATCTGGGGAAAATGAAATCAGAAATAATTACTCAGATAACAGCAAAGATTTTGCTCATGGTGCAAGACATGATTAATAAATCTAGAGAGGACACAGATAAAAAAAATAGAGGATCTGAGGAACATGATGGAATCCCAACATACGAAACAAATGGAATCCATAAAACAGATGCAAACAGATTTCCAGGAGATTAAAAACTCCATCGAAAGTCTGCGCAGCAGAATGAACCAATGTGAGGATAGAATTTCAGATATACAAGAAAAGATTGCAATTAGTGACCAGCAAAATTACATAAAGGGGTGATTGAACAATACAATGAATGTTTAATTGCAGTAAAATACACAGAATCATTAATCCTCCTCAAAATACCCTCCCTCACTTGGAGCACACTTATCCCATTATTCTTGCCACTTTCTGAAGCAAGCCTGAAAGTCTTTTTTTGTGAGTGTCTTTAGGAGGTGTGACAAAAAAAAAAAAATACAGTGAATGCTACCGCTGAGTGCCATTCAATGGAAAGGGAAGCTTGTAAAAGCATTACAGTGTGTTCACATCCACCTTGTCCCCTGGACCTGGCACCAGGCAACTTCTAGCTCTTCTCCAAAGTCAAAATAACATGTGTGTTTCCTTTCAGGATGGCAGGGCTGCCTGAGAGCTGCAGCCCAGGTGTGGCAAGAGGATGGCAGTCTGTATCCCTACCTGAGGAAAAGATCCAAATTCAAAATTTAAAGTATAATTTCTACAGGATGCGGATCACTTTTACAGCATTGTAAAGCTGAAAAATAAAAAATTGAACCACAGTAAGTCAGAATCATCTGTACTCATTCAACAAGACCTCCTCATCCCCATAATTTCCAGCAACCACCATTCTCCTTTCTCTCAGTGGGAATTTGACTATTCTTTGTAGAAGTGGAAATTGTACACTACTTGTTTTTTTGTGTCTGACTTGTTTCATTCAGTAAAATGTCCTCAGGGCTGATCCATGCTGTAGCATGCAGCTGAATTCCCTCCCTTTCTAAGGCTGAAGAATATTGCATTGTGTATATATTCACCACATTTTGTTTGCCCTTTTACCCATTAATGGACATTTGCGTTACTTGGACCCTGTGGCTATTGGGAATAACTTAGAGCTCTGGGTCAGCTGCCTCTTGTTGGGATAAAACCCTGGCTCCTTCGAGAGGTTGTCAAAGGCCCTGCAGGATTCAGGTCCTGTATACTTTCAGCCTCATCCTGCCCTTTTCATGGCAGGCTCCTCTTGTTCAGCTCCAGACTTTCCGGAGGGTTGTTTCCCTCCCAGACCACTTCTCTTCACTGGACCCCTGTGCTTGTGGTGGTCTCTTGAAAAGCAGACTCCAGGAAGGGATTCAGTGGGCAGCAATTTTATTAAGGGAAATGGTGGTGAGAGAAAATGGAG